CATATCAGTTTTACCTGTACTACGAGGTGAGCGACAATATTTACCTGTACTGTGAGGCTGATATATCAGTTTTACCTGTACTACGAGGTGAGCGACAATATTTACCAGTACTGTGAGGCTGGCATATCAGTTTTACCTGTAGTACGTGATGAGCGACAATATTTGCCTGTACCGTCAGGCTGACATATCAGTTTTAACTGTATTACGAGGTGAGCGACAATGTTTACCTGTACTGTTAGGCTGACATATCAGTTTTACCTGTAGTACGTGTTGAGCGACAATGTTTACCTGTACTTTGAGGCTGATATATCAGTTTTACCTGTAGTACGAGGTGGGCGCCAATGTTTACCTGTACTGTGAGGCTGCCATATCAGTTTTACCCAATGTTTACCTGTACTGTGAGGCTGACATATCAGTTTTACCTGTAGTACGAGGTTATCGACAATGTTTACCTGTACTGTGAGGCTGATATATCAGTCTTACCTGTAGTACGTGGTGGGCGCCAATGTTTACCTGTACTGTGAGGCTGACATATCAGTTTTACCTGTAGTACGAGGTTATTGCCAATGTTTACCTGTACTGTTAGGCTGACATATCCGTTTTTCCTGTAGTACAAGGTCAACGACAATGTTTACCTGTACTGTAAGGCTGACATTTCAATTTTCCCTGTAGTACGTGGTGAGCGCCAATGTTTATCTGTACTGTGAGGCTGACATATCAGTTTTACCTGTAGTACGAGGTGAGCGCCAATGTTTACCTGTACTATTAGCCTAACATATCAGTTTTACCTGTAGTACGAGGTTAACGCCAATGTTTACCTGTACTGTATGGCTGACATTTCAATTTTCCCTGTAGTACGTGGTGAGCGCCAATGTTTACCTGTACTGTGAGGCTGACATACCAGTTTTACCTGTAGTACAAGGTGAGCGCCAATGTTTACCTGTACTGTTAGGCTGACATATCCGTTTTACCTGTAGTACGTGGTGAGCGACGATATTTACCTGTACTGTGAGGATGACATATCAGTTTAACCTGTAGTACGTTGTGAGCGCCAATGTTTACCTGTACTGTGAGGCTGACATATCCGTTTTACCTGTAGTACGAGATGAGCGACAATGTTTACCTGTATTGTGAGGCTGACATTTCAATTTTACCTGTAGTACGAGGTGAACGACAATGAATCCGATAAAAGTTCCGACCACATTGTATACAGCTCCCTGGAAACCGTGCTTGCAAAGCTGAAACATTTAAATACATTTCTGAAATCTATAGTTATTAGTCTCCGAGAGGACGATGACCATTAAGTAAGGGAATTTTGATTTTCAGCATGTATTATAAGATAGGGGACGATATCTCATTTTCAATTGCGTTATTCAGAATTGTATTAATGATCATCGAACAAATTGTGTTATTTGCTTGTTAACCAAAACAACATTATTTTAAGCTTTATTGTTTCAAACATGATATAATAAAATTATAAACCAATTCATCATAATTACGTTTTCTAAGGAAAGCGTAGATGAGGATGCGTAGAAGGTGCAGGACGATCCGTAGTCACAGCAGTACGCCTATGAGGCCAGGAATAACACAAGAATAACTATACACCATGGAATGACAAAGCATAAACCGAAGTTGTCCGGAGAAAGAAAATCATTCCGCAGTTTCCCTGACCAGGGTTATCACTATGTAGTTGCCCTGACCAGGGTTATCACTATGTCGTTGCTATTACCAGGGTTGTCACTATGTAGTTGCCCTGACCAGGGTTATCACTATGTCGTTGCTATACCAGGGTTGTCACTATGTCGTTGCTTTTACCAGGGTTGTCACTATGTAGTTGCCCTGACCAGGGATATCACTACATCGTTGCTTTTACAAGTTTTTTTTACGTTGTCACTATGTAGATGCCCTGACCAGGGTTGTCACTATGTCGTTGCTTTTACCAGGGTTGTCACTATGTTGTTGCCCTGACCAAGGTTATCACCATGTCGTTGCTATTACCAGGGTTGTCACTATGTAGTTGCCCTGACCAGGGTTATCACTATGTCGTTGCTTTTACCAGGGTTGTCACTAAGTAGTTTCCCTGACCAGGGTTGTCACTTTGTAGTTGCCCTGACCAGGGTTATCACTATGTCGTTGCTTTTACCAGGGTTGTCACTATGTATTTTCCCTGACCAGGGTTGTCACTATGTCGTTGCTTTTACCAGGGTTGTCACTATGTAGATGCCCTGACCAGGGTTGTCACTATGTCGTCGCTTTTACCAGGGTTGTCACTATGTCGTTTCCCTGACCAGGGTTGTCTCTTTGTCGTTGCTTTTACCAGGGTTGTCACTATGTAGTTTCCCTGACCAGGGTTGTCAATATGTAGTTGCCCTGGCCAGGGTTGTCACTATGTCGTTGCTTTTACCATGGTTGTCACTATGTAGTTCCTTTTATCAGAGTTGTCACTATATAGTTTCCCTGACCAGGGTTGTCACTATGTAGTTTCCCTGACCTGGGTTGTCACTATGTAGTTGCCCTGACAAGGGTGGTAACTATGTCGTCGCTTTCACCAGGGTTGTCACTATGAAGTTTCCCTGACCAGGGTTGTCGCTATGTAGTTGCCCTGACCAGGGTTATCACTATGTCGTTGCTTTTATCAGGGTTGTCACTATGTAGATGCCCTGACCAGGGTTGTCACTATGTAGTTTCCCTGACCAGGGTTGTCACTATGTAGTTGCCCTGACCAGGGTTGTCACTATTAAGTTTCCCTGACCAGGGTTGTCACTATGTAGATGACCTGACCAGTGTTATCACCATGTCGTTGCTTTTACCAGGGTTGTCACTATGTAATTGCCCTGACCAGGGTTATCACTATGTCGTTGCTTTTAACAGGGTTGTCACTATGTAGTTTCCCTGCCAAGGGTTGTCACTATGTAGATGACCTGACCAGGGTTATCACTATGTCGTTGCTTTTACCAGGGTTGACACTATGTATTTGCCCTGGCCAGGGTTATCACTATGTCGTTTATTTTACCAGGGTTGTCACTATGTAGTTTCCCTGACCAGGGTTGTCACTATGTCGTTGCTTTTACCAGGGTTGGCACTATGTATTTGCCCTGGCCAGGGTTATCACTATGTCGTTGCTTTTAACAGGGGTGTCACTATGTAGTTTCCCTGCCAAGGGTTGTCACTATGTAGATGACGTGACCAGGGTTATCACTATGTCGTTGCTATTTCCAGGGTTGTCACTATGTCGTTGCTTTTACCAGGGTTGTCACTATGTCGTTGCTATTACCAGGGTTGTCACTATGTAGATGCCCTGACCAGGGTTATCACTATGTCGTTGCTATTACCAGGGTTGTCACTATGTAGATGCCCTGACCAGGGATATCACTACATCGTTGCTTGTACCAGGGTTGTCACTATGTAGTTGCTTTTACCAGGGTTGTCACTATGTAGATGCCCTGACCAGGGCTGTCACTATGTAGTTGCCCTGGACGGAAGTCACATTTTAGTTTCCTTTACAAGGGTTGTCACTTTTCAGTTATCCTGACAAAGGTTGATTTTTACAATGGTGCCTGGTATGCTTGAAATTCTGAAACTCTTCTTCTATCTTTATCATTTAAGTGAGCACATTAAAGATATAAATACATGTATTAGTGTATTAACATCCAATAAGGAAATATCAGTATTAAGTTCATAATAATATAAAATAAAGTTGCTACTTAAACAAAGATCAGATCATACCTATAGCTAGGACATTCAAACAGCCTTGAGAGTAATGACAATTTTTAGATTGAGATAAAGCGTTGATTTACGATGTGTTTTAAGTCTCACTGAAAATAGAAATTCCATGAATAACACGTGATATAACTTACGACTGACAAAACTAGAGACAATAATCCAAGACAGATCCCCTCTGTTATGCTCAATAATAGGGTCAGTATAACAACCTGAAAATATAAAATAGCACATCACAAGCGACATAAGATAACATATATGTACGGAATGCCAAACATATGTATTCTTCTAATCTCTTAGAATGTTTGGAACATTTATTTTTCTATTTGTGAATTTGATAAGTAGAGGAGCATCTTGTATTTTCACTGTGAACTTTTCGTTGCATGAAAACTGTTTATATTACTAACTAAGATTCACCAGGTATATATTGTTCTTACTACACTCATCACTCTCCGCCAGCCTTTATACACGGCTATGACTCCTAGTACACCGAGCCCCAGAGACAGCACGATGACGCAAAACATGACGATGGCTGTGACGTGGGTGACGTAACCAAGGGTTAAGTCGCCCGAGTAGATTTCGTTGAGGTAAACCATCTCGGTCGTGTAGAAATAGTCTGGACTAAACTTCTGTAGTATGATTCCGATGGACACAACAAGTTCGCCAACCTGGTATACAGATTACACACAAATAATTACATAGTCATCAAAAACAATGTCATAAGAAATACAACTGGTTATATTTGTATGTTCGTTATGTATACTAATTTTCGCTGTAGTTTAACTGTCGGTTTTTTGCATCCTCCACAATATTGCTGAATTTGTCATGAGAACGAATAATTCAAAACATACCATACATGATTACATGTGAAAGGCGAATTTATACATCGGGCAAACATAGATTTTTGGTAAAATGCGATTATGTGACAGGGTGACAGTTTCCTGGTTTAAGGTGTGTCCAATGCATGTTTAACGTGTGTTATAGCATGGACCTTGGCAATGTATATATTGAAGTATTTTGAATCTTTTACCTCGTCCTTAACCAAATTCAGTAAATTTGATGCCATGGAACTATTCAACATTTCTATACATTTTACATATTGGACCTAGTCGCTAACCGTGCTTATTATATTCCCACGAACCTAATCACTTATCTTGTTTTATAGATTAAGATCCTTGACCTTGTCACAGTAACATGTCACATGCTTTAGAGCGGAAGGTTATACACATAACTGCGCGTCACAATATAAACATAATGTACAAATGTTCCACTTTATATGAGCTGTGTCATTTTATTATATCACCCGGTTTAGAACTGTCAACCTATCAGCTGACTGTGATAGATTTTGACCTATTTAATGCTGCCTTTTATTGATGTTAAATCATTGACCATGTCATTTACCTTGTGGTGAAGAGGTTGCACGAATTACCGGGTAACTTTTAAATGATGTATCAAGTTGGTGAACACGGTTTATAGATTTGTATCATGGACCTAATACAGTAACTGACACTTATTTAAAGATAATACGCCTGCTGTTTATGGTCATTGTATTGTGTTTTAACATGTATATTAAAGATCCATGAACCTTCATAATATAATTACCATTGCTATCCCCTTCAACGTCATAAAAACCGCTGCCAAAACTGTGTAGTTCGGCATCCGCTCTTGGTTAATGAATCTGTAAACAAATTTTGTACGTATTTCATCAACATTGCTTCATCAAAAAGTACTTTATTTGCATTACAGATACGTTGATTTGATGGGTGGTCAGGTTGCGCAGTGAATAACGCACTTGCCTTTTACCAAAGCGGCAGCGTGGGTAATTTTCCGCGTACTCCACTTTCCTCCCACGTTAAGACGACCAGCATCCGGGCCAAGAAGAATTGTTTATATTCATACATTGATTTGAAGTGACGCTAGAACTAAGATGGAATTACCAAAATGACTATAAGGCCTGTATCAATCACCCATTCTATCTATTATCTGATCTAAGCAAGATATTGGACAAGTTTCGTCTCAACGAACACCAATGGTGACCACCCCTTACTTGTTGTGACGGAAACGTGCATAACAACACTTGTTTAGAGCATTACAGGGACGTCTCCACATGGTGGGTATTAATTAATCTGGTTAATTTGACTTTTAATCTGAAATGTATCAGCTGATCAGTAGAGAGGCTGACAACGTTATATTACGAATAAACCTATCGTATTGCTGAAATATATCTTTTCAGAATCATTACAGGATTCATCATGTCGAATGTACGTTAAAATTGGGATGTATTTGGGTATTTTTCATCACATTTTTTATCTTGTACTATACAATGAAAACTTTTCATTTCAATGGCTTTAACAAGATTGCCTGCAATTTGAATTTAAACGAAATTGTAAGCAAACTTTGTTTAATTTTTGTTGTTGTCTTCTTCCTTTTTTGTATACTTTACAGTGCAGTATAATAATAAGCTCCCTCGTTGTTTTCTAATTTTTATTCTATTGAAATAAACCATATTTGCTCCTCGTATATGAAATGCATAAAAGTAGGAAAGCTCATGTTGTAGGTGTGCTTGGCCACCGACATTTGTATTAGTAAATAGAACCTTTTCATAAGAGATTTTCCTTATCAGAGCCTACAACATACCTGTTGTTGACCATGGATATCAGAATGCTTTGAAACATTCCATAAGATGGATCATCTGGGGCTTCTTTTATGGACATTCTTTTGTAGATTCTATCTGCCAGACACAGAGCAACTACCTGCAACAGAGACATCAGGAGTTAATTTTGTGTCACTGACTCTTTCATTATTTGTCAATATATCAATACATTATTTTATTTAGAAGAAATAATTTGAAAACCAATAATTAGATGTACCGAAATTAGGTTACGGTAATTCGAGGTGATCAGCAACGGTTTCCTATTCTACATGGAGAATAACATTTTTCCTATTCTTCAACGTTAACAGCATAATGTCTTCCTACATCACGAGGTAGACTGTCATGGTTACCTGTACCACGAGTACGACAGCAAGTTTTACCAGTTCTTAGAGGCGAGTGCCAATGTTTATTTGTACAATGAGGCTGACGCAAAAGTATTACATTTATGTACCTGTACTACGAGGTGAGCGACAATGTTTACCTGTACTGTCAGCCTGACATATCAGTTTTACCTGTAGTAAGAGGTGAACGACAATGTTTACCTGTACTGTGAGGCTGACATGTCAGTTTTACCTGTAGTACGAGGTGAGCGACAATGAATCCGATAAAAGATCCGACCACATTGAACACAGCTCCCTGGAAACCGTGCTTGCAAAGCTGAAATGTTAGCAGAATAAGACAATTACATTATATATTGTCACAATTACCTGATACCAATATTTCCAATAGCATGATTACACATTTACAGGACTCATATTACCTGAATGTATTTTAAGATCGATGATTAATAAAAGAATAATGTTGTTTACAAATATATTTTAATTGAATTGATTAAATAGTCATCGATTTCTGTGACCATGTTTATCTGTTAATTGGTTAATGTGTAAAACTAGGATTTATTTTCAAAAGGAGATTGCGTTTTAACGTTAAAACAAGAATAGAAAACAAACACATTTACATCTTCAAGAGGAGGCGAGTTCCCGTGGGTACGGAAGGTGCAGGCAGAGCCGTAGTCACAGCAGTACGCCTACAAGGTCAATGCCATTTAAATAAGAACATACACTTATTTACACGAACAAAGTAAAAGTGGTAAAACATAGCGTCAACAGAACAAGGAAGGACGACATGGACCATCAAAGAGGAGAAACATGTATTTCCTTAACTAGGTTGCGACCAGGCTTCCTCATTTCCAAAATGGTAGGCCCTTTTTGTAGGGTTGTCACCAGGTAGTCGTATTCTATGTCAGCATTTAGACCAGGTCCTCCTCCTCCTTTCTAAGACTTTGATCACCTGACAGCAGACCTCACCAGAGTTGTCACCAGGTATGGCATTCTTTGTCAGCATTTAGACCAGGTCCTCCTCCTCCTTTCTAAGACTTTGCCCACCTGACAGCAGACCTCACCAGAGTTGTCACCAGGCCCTCCTCCTCCTCCTCTAAGACTTCGACCACCTGACAGCAGACCTCACCAGAGTTGTCACAGGTAGTCGTATTCTATGTCAGCATTTAGACCAGGTCCTCCTCCTCCTTTCTAAGACTTTGACCCCCTGACAGCAGACCTCACCAGAGTTGTCAACAGGTATGGCATTCTTTGTCAGCATTTAGCCCAGGTCCTCCTCCTCCTTCCTAAGACGTTGACCCCCTGACAGCAGACCTCACCAGAGTTGTCACAGGTAGTCGTATTCTATGTCAGCATTTAGGCCAGGTCCTCCTCCTCCTTTCTAAGACTTTGACCTCCTGACAGCAGACCTCACCAGAGTTGTCATCAGGTCCTCCTCCGCCTTTCTAAGACTTTGACCTCCTGACAGCAGACCTCACCAGAGTTGTCATCAGGTCCTCCTCCGCCTTTCTAAGACTTTGACCCCCTGACAGCAGACCTCCCCAGAGTTGTCACCAGGTTCTCCTCCTCCTCCTTTCTAAGACTTTGACCCCCTGACAGCAGACCTCCCCAGAGTTGTCACCAGGTTCTCCTCCTCCTCCTTTCTAAGACTTTGACCGCCTGACAGCAGACCTCACCAGAGTTGTCACCAGGCCCTCCTCATCCTCCTCTAACACTTTGACCACCTGACAGCAGACCTCACCAGAGATGTCACCAGGTTCTCCTCCTCCTCTAAGACTTTGGCCACCTGACAGCAGACCTCGCCAGAGTTGTCACCAGGTCCTCCTCCGCCTTTCTAAGACTTTGACCCCCTGACAGCAGACCTCCCCAGAGTTGTCACCAGGTTCTCCTCCTCCTCCTTTCTAATACTTTGACCACCTGACAGCAGACCTCACCAGAGATGTCACCAGGTTCTCCTCCTCCTCTAAGACTTTGACCACCTGCCAGCAGACCTCACCAGAGTTGTCACCAGGTCCTCCTCCTCCTCTTAGACTTTGACCACCTGACAGCAGACCTCACCAGAGTTGTCCCCAGGTCCTCCTCCGCCTTTCTAAGACTTTGACCACCTGACAGCAGCCCTCACCAGAGTTGTCACCAGGTTCTCCTCCTCCTCCTTTCTAAGACTTTGACCGCCTGACAGCAGACCTCACCAGAGTTGTCACAGGTAGTCGTATTCTATGTCAGCATTTAGGCCAGGTCCTCCTCCTCCTTTCTAAGACTTTGACCCCCTGACAGCAGACCTCCCCAGAGTTGTCACCAGGTTCTCCTCCTCCTCTAAGACTTTGACCACCTGCCAGCAGACCTCACCAGAGTTGTCACCAGGTCCTCCTCCTCTCAGACTTTGACCACCTGACAGCAGACCTCACCAGAGTTGTCACCAAGTCCTCCTCCTCCTCCTCTAAGACTTTGACCACCTGACAGCAGACCTCACCAGAGTTGTCACCAGGTCCTCCTCCTCCTCTAAGACTTTGACCACCTAACATCAGTCCTCACCACAGTTGTCACCAGGTCCTCCTCCTCCTCTAAGACTTTGACCACCTGACAGCAGACCTCACCAGAGTTGTCACCAGGTCCTCCTCCTCCTTTCTAAGACTTTGACCACCTGACAGCGGACCTCACCAGAGTTGTCACCAGGCAGTCGAAATGACGGCTGCTGTTATTAATCAGTAAACCTTACGTAGGCTGCCATATTTAATATGTGGATATGCCAGATTTGACATCCATAAGAGATCCTATCCTATCTAACTACGCATTGAAATAAGGTCATAGCATTACAACACAAGTCACAATTATATTATCTTAACCTAAATACAGTATGTCTTGACTGAAAATTCAAATAACTTCTTTTCAGCAATAAGATCCTAATATAGACAAACAATGACTAAATATATAGTCACTGCATAAGCCAAGCTTGACAAGAAATGTATTACTTACAACCGACAAAACTAAAGACAGCAATCCAAGACAAATCAGTTCTACAATAGTCAGTACTAGAGTCGGTATAACAATCTGAAAGTAAAAAATGTCGCATTACATACCAAAACGTTAACGGTATTGATATTTCAAGAATTTTCTTATATTACAATACATTGTTTTCCTGGAACGTCAGTAATTCTGTTGAATTATAATGATTTTATTAAGATATTTTTGAAAAATTAGCATCAGTTAAGTAAGCTTCAATAATGAATTGAAGATTAATTTACAAAGCGGTCAAACGAAGCATACTTCATTTGAATTTCACTAATTCAATCTTATCATCACCTTTTCAAAATCATTTCATCACTTAAACTTCAAAACTATTAATTGAAAAACATTGCCATTTCAAAATCATTTGAAATATATGTACACACACAAATATATATATTATATTATATTGAATCAGAAAATCATTCAAAGTCCATGTGATGGTTAAATATAAAAACAAATGACAAGAGTTTCTTAAATGTAGTACCTCCCTAGCGATTTCACCTCTTTAGAGGTTTATCAGGGGAAGTCTTTTATATATTATATTATATATACTATATTGGTAGACAAACATCTCGATATCTTGGAAGTAGAGTATTATTGTCCACTTCCACAAGCAAACAAATGCCTACTAGAAATACTTACCGCTTATCACTATCTGCTGGTGTCTACTTGTATCAATCATCACGAAGAATCGTCCAATACAAGCAACTTTTTCACACGAATGTTTATATTACATTTGTATATGCGTATTACTTCGTCTATATGAAATAGTCGATAAAGAAGTATTATAACAATACCACTAAACAAACGTTTCGGTCAGTGTCGAGCAAAGGTGTATTTCTATAATAACATTATAATATTCAAATTATACTTGTATGCACGAGGGATATTTACGAATATTATAATAGTAAACAAAATATGTTACTGTAAATTCAATATGCTCCGATGGAAGTGAGATGGAAAAATTGACCCCACCAAACTACAGGGTGATGCTAAGGCCCGATGATGTTACATACAAACTTACTACACTCATCACTCTCCGCCAGCCTTTATACACGGCTATTACTCCTAGTACACCGAGCCCCAGAGACAACAAAATGACGCAAAACATGACGATGGCTGTGACGTGGATGACGTAACCTAGGGTTAAGTCGCCCGAGTAGATATCGTTGAGGTAAACCATCTCGGTCGTGTAGAAATAGTCTGGACTAAACTTCTGTAGTATGATTCCAATGGACACCACGAGTTCGCAAACCTGGAATGCAGATTGCAAGCAATTGATTGGACACTATCAAAGAATTTATCTCAGAATTGGCATGAATGATATCTGAATCTATATTTAGATATAGTATATATAAAAACATAGGCCAAGTTACTGAGTGTTTATAAATTTTACATAATGGACCAAGGCACTGACATTATATAACTGATTTTACTTTTATTGGACAAAGTCACTGGCCACATTGCATTTAAGATAAAAAGCGTAATTTGAACTCAACTTAATGAAGTTAGGAAAAGTAAACGTTTACACGGAATATTAAAACAGTACATAGAGAATATGATACGGTATTTCAAGGGGACAAACCTGTTCTTCATCGTCTGCACCTGACGTGTAAATCAAATCCAAATATGACTATGCCCTCAAACTAAGAACTTGGGAAGTAACAACACAATGCTTAGGTATGCCGATGAACATATTCAAAAGCGATATTGCTCACAATAAATTAAAATATATCCCAATGAGATTGTGTGGCCCACCACAAAATTTGCATATAGTAATGTCTGCTTTCTATATCGACGCACTTAAATTTTCAGAAAATGTTTTTGAACATTTTAGACTTTGAATTACGCTTATTTTAATTTTAATACAAATAATGAGCCTTTAATTCGCACAACGAACATGTGGTGCAATAGATAATGTTTGGCTTTCTGCATTAATTAACTATTTTTTTTAAATATGTGCTTTATTAAACTGTATTTTGCAATCAATTTATTTCCTCAAACCTTGTAAGTGTGGCTGTCAGATTTCAACAAACAACACAAATCGTTATATTCTTAGCAAGATCGTCAACATCGAATCAGCTACGATATGATAACATAGCAGGTGTAAGAAGCAGTGATGAAACCGTCAAGAAAGGGAATTTTAAGATAGGAAAATATAAATCATCACGCTTTTCACAAAGCTTAGTAGAATGCCATCCATGATGGGCACATTGTTAATAATGATTGAGGTAAGCGCCTGTTGTAGGAAGGTCTGTGGTGTACTTGTTTTTTTTAAGATCGACGATCGACGGGTAGTAAAAGTGTTGTTATTTAAAGACAACTGAGAGTAAAATAGAGTTTCGTTACCTGTTCTGATAAGTGCTTTGGTAAATGTATCTTCATATTAAAACAAAAATAAAACAAGTCGGTAAAAAGAGGGGCATAAATGATCCTCATAGATATGCCAACATTCTCAAGATTTTACCATCAGAATATTTCATTATGTCTTTTGTCTTTTTTCACAAACTACTTTTCAAAATATATAAATGTATCGTCATTCTCCCTTCTTGAAAACGAAGCTCTCATAAAAACAGGAGGGGTGCGTTCCATCAGTCTGCTATGAGGTATGTATGGAAGTGCACATAGTGTGAAAGCCAAATTATCTAATAGAAGAAAATGTTAAACAAATGTTCGGAATCGATCAGACGTTTGGTTGGTTTTTCCTAATACGTATTTAAGTTTGACACTTCTGGAATATTCGTTGTTACAATACGAATGTAGCAATGCTTGTATGGTTCGAAAAATTATAGTAAGTGTTGACAACGGCTTGGCTGAGCAACTAGCAAAACCAGCGATAACACATTGTTTACCGTAATAAGTGATTGGGGTTCTTTATTACCCGAAGATTTAATCTTTGCCATACTTATAGTGCAGTGTTTAAATGATGGTAGTGAAAGCTAGCCCATTGTTTGCTATCCCGTAAACCCATCCCCTGTCCCTGTTATATAGATATATTCAAAGAACTATTTACTAACCGTTTCAGTAAGTGAACATGTTTTCTATATGAAAAACCCATGCTGCTAGCCATTACATTGCTTTTAAATATTTAACATACATGGACCGTTTGTCTTGTTCTTACCATTGTTATTCCCTTAAACGACATAAAAATAGCGGCAAGATTTGTGAAGTTTGGCATCCGGTTTTGGTTGATGAATCTACAAAGAAATGTTATTTCATTACTTTTTCCACATGAAATCACCAAGAACGAAAATTGCAAAACGTGATGCTAAAATATTTCAGCTAAACAACCTCGATAAGAAAGAGTGACTTTTTGTTTTTAAATACTCACTAGTGTTTCGTATTATTTGAAATATCCACTGTGTTTTGTAATATGGTTATTATCATAACTAACATCATGTCTTATCATAATTTCACTCAATGTTCTGATTTGTATAAAAACAAATTTCATGTACTGAGATTGATGTCTTTATTGCTTCTGTAATATTAATGATAATGTCACATGTTATTTAGATTGTTTCCTTTAGATTTTTAGGATTAGTCGACAATGCGGTCAATATCGTTCAAACTCGATTGGGTCTGTTTTCACCCTCCAAGGTATACGTATTTCCATGTTGGCCTTTTTTCTTTTCCGTTCTAACCTTCATTCGGGTCGTTTTGTCGTCAAACCCTTAACATTTATAATTGCAATATACCTGAAGCCATAATGTTTTGCCGACATTATTTACCTGTTGTTGGTGGAAGCGGTCCAGGTCGATATTATTTAACTGTTGTTGGTGGAAGCGGGCCAGGTAGACATTATTTACCTGTTGTTGGTGGAAGCGGTCCAGGTCGACATTGTTTACCTGTTGTTGGTGGAAGCGGTCCAGGTCGACATTATTTACCTGTTGTTGGTGAAAGCGGTCCAGGTCGACATTATTTACATGTTGTTGGTGGAAGCGGTCCAGGTCGACAGTATTTACCTGTTGTTGGTGGAAGCGGACCAGGTCGACATATTTACCCTGTTGTTGGTGGAAGTGGTCCAGGTCGACATTATGTACCAGTTGTTGGTGGAAGCGGGCCATGTGTTGGTGGAAGCGGGCCAGGTCGACATTATTTACCTGGTGTTGGTGGAAGCGGTCCAGGGCGACATTATTTACCTGGTGTTGGTGGAAGCGGTCTAGGTCGACATTTTTTACCTGTTGTTGGAGGAAGCGGTCCAGGTCGAAATATTTAACCTGTTGTTTGTGTAAGCGGTCCATGTCGACATTATTTACCTGTTGTTGGTGGAAGCGGTCCAGGTCGACATATTTAACCTGTTGTTGGTGGAAGCGGTCCATGTCGACATTATTTACCTGTTGTTGGTGGAAGCGGTCCAGACGGAAGACAATATTCCGGAAGCATCTTTATCCTGATCCGACTGTTCCTGAAGGCGTTTGTACAGTCGGTCCGATAACACAACACACACAACCTGAGGAAGGAAGGAGCTTGTAATACCTGTCCACACATTCTTTTACACCATTATCAAAATAGAAATAAACAGCATATAACTTTTTTATTAAATTTTATTACTAAAAATATAATAATTGGTTACTGATTGTAAAAGCGATTATTCATAACTGTTTAATCGTGAAATTAATTATGATTGGTTTTAGTTGCTGTAATAATGCATAAATGATTCGCTTTGAGATTGGTGAGGTTTTACTTTATCAGTAATGATTAATACCTAAACGTATACCAGGAAGATTGGTGTTGACGGGTTTTACTTTAACAGTAATGATTGATTCCTAAACGTTTAACTGGAATATTGGTGTTGACGAGTTCTACTTACACAGTAATGATTGATTCCTAAACGTATACCTGGAAGATTGGTGTTGACGGGTTTTACTTTAACAGTAATGATTGATACCTAAACGTATAACTGAAAGATTGGTGTTGACGGGTTCTACTTACAAAGGAATGATTGATACCTAAACGTTTAATTCGGAGATTGGGGTTGACGGGTTTTATTTTAACAGTAATGATTGATACCGAAACGTTTAATTCGGAGATTGGTGTTGACGGGTTCTACTTACAAAGTAATGATTGATACCTAAACGTTTACCTGGAATATTGGTGTTGACGAGTTCTACTTACACAGTAACGATTGATTCCTAAACGTTTAACTGGAATATTGGTGTCGACGAGTTCTACTTACACAGTAACGATTGATTCCTAAACGTTTAATCGGAAGATTGGTGTTGACGAGTTCTACTTACACAGTAATGATTGATTCTTAAACGTTTAACTGGAAGATTGGTGTTGGCGGGAATTACTTTAACAGTAATGATCGATACCTAAACGTTTAACTGGAAGATTGGTGTTGGCGGGAATTACTTTAACAGTAATGATTGATTCTTAAACGTTTAACTGGAAGATTGGTGGTGAGGGGATCGACTTACAAAGTAATGATTGATTCCTAAACGTTTAATCGGAAGATTGGTGTTGACGAGTTTTATTTCAACAGTAATGATTGATACCTAAACGTTTACCTGGAATATTGGTGTTGACGGGTTTTACTTTAACTGTAATGATTGATTCCTAAACGTTTACGTGGAAGATTGGTGTTGACGGGTTTTACTTTGACAGTAATGATTGATTCCTAAACGTATAACTGAAAGATTGGTGTTGACGGGTTTTACTTTAACAGTAATGATCGATACCTAAACGTTTACCTGGAATATTGGTGTTGACGGGTTTTACTTTAACAGGAATGATTGATATCTAAACTTCTAACTGGAAGATTGGTGTTGGCGGGTTTTACTTTAACAGGAATGATTGATATCTAAACTTCTAACTGGAAGATTGGTGTTGACGGGTTTTACTTTACATGTAACAGCAATGATTGATACCAAAACGTATAACT